TTTTTTTTCGATTGCGTCTGCAAGCGTACACTCGAGGCACAAGAACTCTGTTTTCGTGGTCTGGATTACTTACCATGCCCCATTTGGGATGGACGTGGTGAACACCGATGACCTCCGCAAAGCTGGCAAATCCTTCGTTCAGCCATAAGTCATCCCACCAGGTCAGCGTTACCAAGTTTCCGAACCACTGTATAGGGTGGAAAATAAACAAAAATGACATGTGAACACCTACTTTGTGAGTAGTAAAGAATATTTTAAATTGTTCCGCACTTGAGAAGTAGCTCTTCAAAGAATAGCAAGACGTGGAGTGAGGCCTGACCAAGTTCTTGAAAAAACCAACCCCACGATAGAATAAGTCAAGCACAAGCTTTGACAAAGTAAGCGTTCAAATCAGCTTTGCTTAAGTAAAATTACATACAAATGTATATACATATATATGGTCAGTAAGGGTTTCTGATCAAGCGCGGGATAAAGTTTGATTCAGCAAACGTCGATTCCGGCAAAAGGAGATGCAAAGCTATCGAGTGGACTACCTCACATGTGAGGCTTTCCTCGGTAGAGTGTGAAGGTCATTAGACATAGCTCTTGTTGTTGTACAATTAGCTGAGTGTGATTTCAGCAATGTGACATGGCTCTGAAAAATGCCACGTTTATCGCTGTGAAGTGCAAACGATCTTACGGCATAAACAAATCTGAAATGAATCCCTCAAAAACTGTAATTTGTACTTGCCCACCAACCTTCAAAGATGGACCCACAGTAAGAGAAGGCTAATACCAACATGTCCCCACAAAGTATTTCACTGGTGAATGCTCTCCCTAAAGAGATCACCCCGAAGGGGCAAAGTACGGTGTTCACTCCGAGATGAAAAGCTGTGGATAAAGCACAAATAGTCCACCCATCAGACATGTATTGGCAGAACTCTTTCGATTTTCCGAACCTAGTCTTGCAGTTTTGTGGTAATTCAGTGGGAGAGTTTGAAAACCTTGAGCACTGCGCTGATTCGGGTGTCTCGTCACGTGATGAGCACCGTTGGGGGATAGCAAAGTAACACATTGTTTTGTAACCGGATTTATACGTTCTAATGATTAGATTATAATGAACCGAAAGACGTCAGAATACAGGTTAATAGTGGGGTGTTTCAATGTACTAAAGATGAACGCTACAGCTTTCACTTCTGGCTGGCTTACCTGATGGGCGATTTCATGGGATATGACAGTGGCCACCTTTTGTTGGCTGTGTGCGGTCCCAGTTTCTGGATCCCAAAGCATGGTCGGTTCTCGATAGATCATCAATCCCCAGTTCTCCATTGCTCCCGCTGCAAAGTCTGGAACGGCGATCATATCTGAAATTGGAAGAAATTACTCAGTGCTGTATTAATCGAAAAGCGTTTAGGGGTATTCGTTATTGCCTGTTCTTCTTTTAGGGAAATGCTTTGTGAGTAACGTGGGAGTGAAAGTCTGACGAGGTCGGGAAAACGGGTCAGGAACAGGCAGTCTGCAGTATGGGTGGTACTACAT